TTTTTGCACAGAGAGGTTGCTGTAATGAAGGACAGAGATGGGAGTGTCGGGTTTCCCCTTGATTTGTGGAAGTTCAGATAAACACTTGTATGATAAGCCTTAATGGAATGGCTGAAACATGTAAGACACCATATTATACTTGTGTTCTGCTTGGATTTATACATCTTTATGTATAAATAAGGTGTTATGGGTTTTATAGTACGATAAGTATCCTAACTGTTCAGGTGTAAAAATAACAGATTTCTTAGGGAGATACAAGGCCATGTATCCATCCCTGCTAGGTCCCACATGAGTTTCTTGCCCATGTGATGGAGAAACAACCACCCATCAACACCATGGTCCCGGGCGGTCCCGGGGCTCTGGGGCGGTCCCGGGGCTCAGGGGCGGGGCCGGGCGGGGCCGGGCCCGGCTCAGGTGCGCGGGGCGGGTCCGGCTCAGGTGCGCGGGGCTCCAGCGGCGCTGCGCGGGGCGGGGCCGAGGTGATTTAATCCCTGGAAATCACCTCGAGAGCCATTTGCTCATCCGGAGGGCAGGGAGGCTGCTGCCGGGTTGGGCTCTCCCGGCGGGTACCCCTCTCCTTTTCCCTCCTCTTTCTCCTGCCCTTATCCTCCTCCTTCGTTTCCCCCTTATCTCTGCTTTCCTACCCCTCCAGTTCCTTTCTCCCTCCCACCCCGCCCTTCCTCTCCCCCTTCGCCAGCCCTCTGCACCCTCTCTCCCTGATCCCCTGCACATCCCCGACCCTCCCTACCCCACTCCCGCACCCGACTCCCCTCTCTTGCTCCTCTACCTTTCTTCTGTCCATCCTCCCGCTCCCTCACCCACCTCCTCCCCCCATCCTCCCTCTCTCTCCCTCATTCCCCGCAGCCGGGGCTCGGGCACCGGAGAATAAAGCCCAGAGAGCCGGAGCCGGCGCCCCCCGCCCTCGCTGCAGCCCCACACGGGGCCGAACCCGCTCATACCATGGGCTCGTGGGGTGACTTGGAAGGGACGACGAAAACTCTCTGGACTCTTTTGTCCCATCTCACGGCAAAGAACACGTCCAAAACTGCCTCCTCAGGCTCGCGGAATGGCAGTGGCTGTGTGGAGCTCTGGCAGGAGTGCCTGGAGACCAGGTAAGAACAGAAATGAGATTGTTTTGGCTGCTGCTGGATGTGGTTTTCTCTTTTCAAGATATTTTTCTGATTGATGTTTTCACAGTCGTTTTCTAGGTGTCATGAGAGGGTAATTCCAAAACTTTGGAAGTAGTTGGGAAACAGTGGGGCAAAAATGTGAACCTGATCCATTTCTAGTAATTCCAAACTTCTCCCACAACACCATTCTGGGGGAAAGCTGGTTAAAGGATAAAGATACAGAGGAACAAGTGTTGTGAACCCCCCTCGCTCTCTGACAGAGCAAACCTTCCAGTAATCCCAGTACATCTCTCTGAGAGACTCTGGGATCATATGGTCTTCCAGGAAAGCAAAACAAGCACAGAGACCGAGGGAATAGGCTGCTGGTTAATAATGATTTGATGGGTGTAGGAATGATTCTTGCATGTTTCGCACTCCTCTTTTAACTCCTGGAATATTTTTAAAGTTATTCCTTTAACAAACTAAATTTGAGAGGAAATGGTGCAAAATAAATGCATGGAGAGATCATGGATTCCCCAAATGGTTTGAGTGGGAAGGGACCTTAAGGATCACCTCATTCCATCCCCTGCTATTCCATCCACAGCCCAGGGTGCTCCAAGCCCCATCCAGCCTGGCCTTGGACACTTCCAGGGATGGAGCAGCCCCGATTTCTCTGGGTTGATGGGCACAGGAGGGAATTTCCAGCAGGAGCTGAGGCGTTTCCTTTGCTCTGGCCAGCCCCAGCAGGGCTGTGGGAGGCAGAGGATGTGGGAGCAGGAGCTTTGCCCCCTGCCCCGGGGGAGTCTCTGCTGTCCCAGCCCCAGCAGAGCAAACGTTTGTGCTTTCACATCCCGTTCCAAGGAGCTGCCCAGGCAGGAGCGGGGATGGGCGCGGAGCAGGGACGGTGCCAGGCACAGGGGGACATCCAGAGGTGCCCCCAGCCCGTCCCTGCTGCCCAGGCTGGCATGAGCAGGCTGGTGACCGTCCCTGGCTTTGCTCTGCAGGCTGAGGAAGCCAACCCTGGCGAGGAGGAAGATGAGGAGGCGGGGGAGGATGGAGACAGCGGCCCCCAAAGGCTGGGGAAGGCCCAGCTCCAGGTAGGAGATGCTGCCTTCCAAGGAGAGGGACTGGTCTGTCCCACTGGAATTTGGGCTGGGAGGCCAATGGAACAAAGGGGTTGATTCCATTTTCTTACATGGGCCAGGCTGTGTTTGAAACAGCCCAAGGTAGCAGAGAGCTGGAGTCATTTCCTAGCAGGGAACTTGCTTTGGAAACTGCATTCCAAACTCTTGTCCACATTTATTTTATCTCCCACATGGAGATGCCTAAGGAAGGTGGGGTGTTTCTAACAAAAGAACATCCCAATTCATCTGTGGCAGAGGGCTTAAAATGAAAGTGTGAGTGGAGCTGCCTTTAGGACACTTCAAATTCCTTAGTATACGAATGGAATTTAAATGAAATATCCAAACCCTGAGAAGCTTGTGTGAACTCCAGAGCCTCTGCAAGTGTTTTACAGAGAGGGAAGGAGACAAGAGTCTGGAGTCTCTCCCCAAAAACTGGCTGCTGTTTGTTTGACCAGGCATAGGAATGACTGTGTATTCCCTGGGGCTGTCCTTATGGAGAAAGGTTTATTTATGTGCCCTGGGTTTATTCAGGGTCCCTTCACCATGATGGAGACTGATTTCATTGAAATGCCAGAGGTGCCCAATGCTTTCCCCAGCCAGAGCTCAGAACCAGCCCTGTGGGAAGGGGTTTCATGCCCATTTTCCCAATCCCTCCAGGCAGCAGCACTGGAGCACTTGGGCCAAACATGGCCAAGGTGCCCAGTGCTGGCAGGAGGCAAATCCAGGGATTGGACAGTGGGAGTTTGCACTGCTCCTGGAATCCCAGACCTGGAGCTGTGCTTCAGAGAGCCCAGGAGCTGCTGCCTCACTCAAACCTCATTTAAACCTCAGCATCCTCCCTGCTCCCTTGGAATTATTGCTGCTCCCTTAGCTGCTCTACCTTAGTACTATTATTATTGTTGTTATTGATGTTATTGTCACTATTACTGTAAACTCCCACTCCCTGTCTCTTCCATAGCCCTTTGCTTCCCAGAGGTGGTGCTTTAGGAAACCCCTCCAGCCTGGGAAGGGCTTTTGGCTCCAGACACGTTCCCAGTGCCCAGGAGCAGCAGGACCTGTGCTGCTCCCAGCAGGTGAGGCACAGGTGCCTTTCCTTTCTTCCTTCCCTGCTGCACTTGGGCTTTTTGAGGGGTCTCTGGGGTTCTGAGGGAGAAGTTCTTTGTCACTCCAAGGCAGAATTAGCCCTGGTCCCACTAAAAGCAGAAGAATTCATTTTATCCCTGTTTTTGGATACACATTTTGTGTTTTCTCTCTGTTGCTGACACCGTGTGGTGAAGCAGCAGCTCCCAACCTTGTCAATGCCGCTCCCTGGAATAGTTTTTATCTGTAGAACCATGAATTCCCTGCTGGAATCCAGTCACAGCCCCCAGACCAATGTGCAGGTGAAGGTCTTACACCCTGCCCAGGACAATTTCCTGTCTCTAGACATGGAAAATGGGGGAAAACTCAGGCTGGAGTGGAGCCAGGATGCAGAATGGGGCAGTGAGGCAGCGTGCTCAGCCCAGGCTGGGGTTGGCACAGGGGCTGTTCCCTGTTGGATGACACCCACGTGGAACAGATCCTCCTCTTCCTTTGTCCAAAGTCCAATGGCAAAGGATTGAATAACTCACAAGTGGGGCCTGGAATGAAAATGATTCTGTTAAAATTAGGTAAAGAATGTGATAAGAAAAAATGGGCATCCTTTTTATGTATTAAAATAGTAGGGAATAAAATGTTGACAAGGGGCACTTTTATTCAGTGTCACCTTTCCTTTTTTATGGAGTGAGCAATCAGAACAGAAGTAGGAAAGCCAGGAGCCTTTGACTTCCAGAGTGGACCTAATTTCCATTTTCTCCTCTCTTTCAGGACAGGAAAAACCACTTAACTGATCCCATCTTTGCCCAGAGCTTTGGAGTTTGAGCAGCCAAACCCAACGGGCTCCAGCTGCACTGGAGGGTCCCTGCTCCTGCCCGTGGTGTGGGGTGAGTCCCCAGCTGTGCCCAGAGTGTCACAGACCCAGAGGGATCTGCCCTGGTCCCAGGCTGTCCCTGTCCCAAGGGGCCTTTGTCACCTTTGTCACCTTGTGGGGAATGTGGTGGCAGCCCCGGGAGCAGCTGCTGGGAGCTGGGGCAGGGCCTGGCACTGATCCAGGGCAGGGCAGTGCTTCCCTTGGGGGGGTTGGCCCCCCACGCTGAGCTCAGGCAGGATCAGGGTCACAGATGCTGCATTTTGTGCCCCTGAGAGTTTCTGTCCCCCCTGGGGATTTCCTGCCGGGATGGGGCAGCGCAGGAGCAGAATTGAACCTGCAGCTCCCGTGGCCATTGCTGGCCTTTGTCTCTCTGCTGTGCCCTCAGACCGTGGCAATTTGCTGCTGCCACTGCCACTGCCACCCCCTGGGGGCTGTGTCCTCCTGGCAGCCCTTCCCAGCCCCAACAGGAGCTCCAGTGCTGCCTCTGTGCCTGTGGGCAGTGTTTGCTGGCAATGTGCCTCACCCCTGGCAGGATCCTTTTGTTCCAGAGCAGGCAGACTCCAGAGCTTCTGGGCTTCTCAGCTGCAGGGCTGGATTGCAGAAGTCCCTGCAAAGAAGAATAACAATGAGCTTTGTCCAGGTGGTGCTTTCAGAGCCCACCTGACAGTCTGTGCTTTGTGCTGGAGGCTGTTGTGCATTGGCACTGCAGGGAATGAATGTCCCCTTCCCAGTTCAGCCCAGCAGATCCCAAAGGCTCTTACAGGAATATTTATCCTTCACTTCCCTGTGTGATAGCTTAATCTCCACCTGCTGTGAGCCATTCCTTGAGTTCTCCTGGAGAAAACCTCACAGCAGAGGAGTTTGCAAAGAGCCCAGAGCTGTGTTTGGAGCAGAGAGAGCTGAGAGCTGTGTCTGCCTGTGCTGCCCCAGCCTGGCAACATCCCCATGGAACAGCCTGGGCAGATGGGATTAGATGGAGCAAAATCCCTTCATGCAAGAGGTTTTCTCCTGTGCAGATCAGGCACGGGGCAGGCAGTGAACTTTGGAAATCAGCTGATTTCCCCAGAAAGCATCACTCCCATCAGCATCAATGACAGGACCTGTGCCCACTGCTCAGGAGTCACCCAGCCAAAATCAAGGGCAAAGCTTGGTTTGGGTCTGAGAACTTGAAATAACTTGGAAAGAGAAGAAATGACCTTTTTCTTCTTCCTTCCTTTCAGATGCTGGAATTGCCTCTGTGGATGTGCACTGAGCCCTCGCTGCAGGGAACTGCCAGGCCTTAATGGTGGTGAGCTCATGTTCTTCTCACTGGGGAACTGGAAATAATTATTAATTAGCAATTGCAGAAATGTTTTCTGAAACCTTTCCCCTTTGCTGGTAGATCTTCTCTTTGTGGCTTTGAATCTACAGAATTCCCTGCTGTCCTTTGCCCTGCCTGAATTCCTTGCAGCTCCTAACAGGGAAAACCTGGGATAACTCAGAGGGGACAGAGGTGACATTTTTAGCTGAAAACCTGGGGCAGTTGGGAGGGGACACAAGAACTGTTTGTGTAGGAAAATGTGAGGGGATGTCAAGGGGAGCCGGTGGCATTTTGAGGGAAAAGCTGAGGTGATGTTCAGGGGAGAGAATGCAAATTTCAGAGTAGAAAAGAGCTAATCAATATTGTACAGGAAGGAAAATTTGGGGGGTAAACCTTGATGTAATCTGTAGGGGACAGAGTGAAGATATTGGAGTAAAAATGAGGTACTCATTTTTAAGTAAGGAAAATTTTGGAGACAAAACTTGTCACAATATCAGGAGTAGAGAAGGAACACACTGAGGGAAAAATGAGGTGATGAGTACTGAGCATACAGTTGGGAAAATTCAGGGGCTAAATCTGAGATAATTTCTAGGGGAGAGCATGAACATACTGAGCTAACATGAGGGAATCAGTTGTGGGCAGATGGGGAAATTTTGAGGGGTAAAAATAATATTAAATAATCTGTAGGGCAGAGAGTGAACATTTTGAGGTAAAAGTGAGATCATCGCTAGTAGACAGATGGAGAATTTGGGGAGTAAATCTTGAGAGAAGCTACATAATAGAAAATGAATATATTGAAGGAAAAATGAGGGAATCAGTAGTGGACGGGAATTTTAGGGGGTAAAACTTGAAATAATCTTAAGGTTGAGAATTACTATTTTCAGGTAAAAATGAAGTAATAAGTTATGGACAGTTACAGAAAATTTTGGCAGTAAAACCTGGGTAAATCTCAAGGGAAAGAGTGAACACTGACAGAAACTGAGGCAGTCACTGGGGGCAGGCAAGGAAATTTTGGGGGTAGAACTTGGCAAGATCTGTAGGGCAGAAAATGAACATCTTGAGGCAGAAATGATCAGAAGTCAACATTAGGTAGAATTTGGGGGGCAAACCCTGAGGTAATTATGTAGGAACAGTAAGTAGTTTTGGGAAAAAATCTGACATAATTTGCAGGGCACAGAATGAACATTTTGGAGATAAGAGACATAACCTGTGTGGTTTTGGTTTTAAAATCTAGTTGGTAAATAGGGGACAAAATGGACATTTTGTAATAAAATCTGAGTTAATCTGTAGAGGAAACAATGGATATTTTGAGGTGAAAAGGAGGTAATCAGTACTGGGCAGGTAGGGAAAATTGAGGGCTAAAATGTGAGATTATCTCTAGGAGAGAGCAGGAACATTCTGAGGTAAACTGAGGGAATTGCTGTGGACAGGTGGGTAAATCTGGGGATAAAACTTGAGGGAATCTCCATGGTAGAAAATTAATATTTTAAGGTAAAAATGAGGTACTCAGTGGTGGAGAGGTAGGGAAAATTTTGGGGTAAAATCTGAGGTGATCTGTAGCAGAGAGGATGCACTTGATGGGGTAAACTGAGGTAAGTGGTTATGGACAGGTAGGGAAATTATTGGGAGGGAAAACTGAAAGCATCTGTAGGGTAAAGAATGAAAATATTGAGGTGGAAATGGGATAATAGGGAGTGGACAAGGTAGGGAAGATTTTTAGGGTAAGTCTTGTGGTAATCTCCAGACTACAGAAAGAATGGTTTCTTGTAAAAATAAAAATTGGCTGCCGAAATTTCCTAACCCAGGGGCTTTGGCTGGCAGGGCAGCACAAGGATTGTTCCCTGTGTGATGCCCAGATTTGAGGTACAGTATCAGCTTTGCTACTTTAGAGGAATTATACCTGTAGCCCCCCATTCCCTGCTGAATTCCTACTGGAATAACCTTACAGTGCCTCATGCAGCATGGATATTCCCACACAGATCTGCCTAATGAAGACCACTGTTCCAGGAACCAGCAGAGGCTCCAAGGAAGCTCAGTGGGATCAGGACAAAGACAGGTTGATATTCCATAGCATTTGCTATTTTTAACCCTCATCCCTCAGCCAAGTGTTTCCCCACAAAATTTTCTATCTGTCTTCTACCTATAACCTCATTGTTACCTTAAAATGTTCATTCTAGCCGTGTTCCCGGGGGCACTTGACAGAGTTCCCTGGAATTCCGTGGGCTCGGCTCCAGCTGATGCTCTCAGCAGCGAGGGCGGGGCCGGACGCGCTCCCGGCCCTGCTGAGGCAGCCCCTGTGCCCAGGGGAGGGCATCTCTCCCTGCAGGAGCTGAGCTCATTCCAGAGCCTCGGCAGCGGCCTCCGGGAGCTCTTTTCCCTGAGGAAAGGGATGCACATCCCTGCCTGCAGGGCACCTGCACTGTGACCCACCTGTGCGAGCTTCCCAGCACTTCTGCAGTGCCAGCTGGCTCCCGAAAAACTCCAAACTTCATCCAAACAAAACTCCATCTAACTCTAACCTTTTGTTTCAAGGCATCTCCGAGGGCCTTGCTTGGGATTGAATTTCTGCGAGGGGAATTCCCTTGGCTTTAAGGCTGCTGCTGCTGGAGGATGTCCCCAGGCTGGAAGGGAAGGCACTGGAGTGGCTGGGACACACCCGGTGGCTGTGTGGGAGCTCCAGGAGGTGGCACCGGGAATCGCTGTCTGAACTCCTCTGCAAAGCCAGCGTGCAGCACTCCCAGGCAATGGCAGCTGTTCCTTGGGCTGGTTTTGGGATGTCAGGGGGCTCTGTCCGGGCTGCAGCCTCTCCGGGGGCCCGTTCAGAGCAGCCCCTGGCCCAGGAGCTGCGGGCAGCCCTTGATCCGTGCCCATCCCAGCGCTGCCCGGGCATCCCAGTGCCTGCCCCGGGTGTGCCTGGCACGCTGCCTGCACGGGCAGGACACTGAGGCACAGCTCCTGCCCTGCAGGCACCGAGGGCAGGAGGGGCTGGTTCCCCCTGGGCTCGGCCTCCTCCCGCCCCGCGTTCCCGGCCAGCCGGGACACACAGAGGGAGCAGCGAGGAACATTCCTGGCAGGGAGCAGGAGTCCCCGAGGGCTCCGTGCAGCTCCGGGCCGGAGAAGCAGCGCCGGGCTCAGCCCCCGCCGTGAGTTTGGGCTGTGAGCACTCATCTGCAGGAAAGGCCCCTCTGCAGGCGGGACCAGCCCTGACACTCTCCAGAAGAGCTTGGGCCTTGGAGCAAGGGAGCCCTCAGGACTTGCTCGTTTCTCTCTGGAAAGGGACAGGGCATCAGCACCTTTACAGCTATTTAGGAAATGCTGGAAAAGGCAGGAAATCAGGATTACGGGAAGAGTTTTGTGCTGTCACACAACCGTTCACCTGTGTTGTTCCATGGTCAGGTGCTGCCTATGGAGCTCTGCCCTACAGACGTTCCAGGGGCTGGTGTGTAAAGCAGCATTGGCAAAGAAATTGCCCTGCTGGCATTTGGCATTCCTGTCCCAGGCAGGGCATTGCCATTACCTGAGATTGGCTTGGTTGGAGCAGGGTGCTGAAAATGCCCAGGTTGTGGGTTCAATCCCCAGCTGAGCCCTTCACATAAGGCTTCAACCTGGTGCTCCTGGTGTGTCCCTTCCCACTCAGGATATCTGATGACCTAAAAATAAAGAGTAAACAGTTTTCACTGGCTTCTTAAGCCCAGAGATTTTTTGCTTTGGAGAGTGTGAGCCACAAAGAAAGTGCAAGGGAAGAGGAAGAGCATCAAGTCTCACCTGGCAGGTGTCAGGTGAGCGGCCCGAGCAGAACCGAGCCCGGGCAGGGCCCCGTGCCTGCACCCGGCACAGTCGGAGCAGGAGCAGCAGCGCCGGGCTCGGCCCCAGCGCCCGGCCCGGAGCGGCTCCTCCGGCCCGCGGCGATGCAGCCCCGCTCGTTCCGCGGGGACGCGGCGGGCGAGAGCCCCGGGGGTGCGGGCACGGGGTCCGGGTCCCGCTCTGCGCGCGGTGGCCTTGGGGGTACCGGGGCTGAGGGGGCTCCGCATCCCCGCGGGGGCCGGGCCGGGAGCGCGCCCCGGGGGCCGCCGCGCTCGCAGCTCCGCTCCGTGTCCGCCAGGGGGCGCCCCGCGGGGCGGCGGCGCTGAGGGAGCGGCGGGGCCTGAGGGCTCCCGGGGCCGGCACGGGCGGTCCCCGCGCCCCGGCCGCTTCCAGCCGCGATCCAGCGCCTGCTCCGGGAATGCGCCGCTCTCCTGCCGGGCCCGGCACCGGCACAGCCCCGGCTCCCCACGGCAGCAGCGGGACCTGCCCGGAGCCGTAGCGGGAGCAGCCCTGGTCCAAGCGGGAGTGGCAGCGCCGGGCTCGGTCCGTGCCCGTCCCGGAGCGACTCTTCCCGCCCGCGGCGATCCCGATCCCAGCCCCAATCCCGCCTCGGTTCTGCGGCCCCGCGAGGGAGAAGCGGCTCAGCCCGGGACCCCCAGCAGACACCGGCAGGACCCGGATCCCCAGGCCTGGGTCCTGTTCTCGGCCCCACCTCAGCGCCTCGAGCCCGGAGCAGCACCGGGAACAGCCCCCGGTCCGGGGCTCCGCACAGCACTCCAGCGACGGCTCCGCCGCATCCCGGGATGAGCATCCATCACACAAAGCGGAGCGGGTGTGGATCCGCCGGGATTTACGGGCGCGGGCGGGGCGGGGCGGGGCCGGCTCAGGTGTGAGGGGCGGGGCCGGCTCAGGTGTGAGGGGCGGGGCCGGCTCAGGTGCGCGGGGCCCCAGCGCGGCTGCGCGGGGCGGGGCCGAGAGGATTTAACCCCCGGGAATCGCCGCTGGCGCCATTTGCCCCCTCGGCGCTCGGAGGGGAAGGTTCTGTCCGCGCGGGCTCCCTATCTTTTTATTTGTTTCTTTTCTTTTACGCTTTTTTTAACCTCTTTTTCTCAATACCTCCCCTCTCTCCCTCCCTTCCTCCCCTCCCCCACCCCCTACACCCTCCCCCCCCCCTACCCCCCCCCCTCCCTCTCCCCCCTAGCCCTCCCCTCCCTCCCCCCCAAACCGCTCCCTCCCGGGCCGGTCCCCCCTACCCTTCCTATGCCCCCACACACCCCAGCCCTACCCTACCCCTCTTTTCTCCACGCTTCCTTCCCTCCCCAGCCTAGCTCCCACCTGCCCCCTCATCCTCGTTCCCCCCAATTCCACCTCCCTCTCCTTCCTTCACCCTTCCTCCTCTTCCATCTCCCCCTGTTTTCCTTCTTCACCTTGACCCCTCCCCACCTGTGCTCCATTCTCGTCCTCCATCCTCCACCCGCTCTACCCCCGCCACCCCACCTACCCCTGCCCCCGTCCCTGCTCCCCTGCACATCCCGACCCCCCCACCTGCCCTCCATCCTTGACCCACCCCGACCACCCCCTCTGTCCCCCTGTTCCCATCCTCTGTCCCCCTGTTCCCCTCCTCTGTCCCCCTGTTCCCCTCCTCTGTCCCCCCTGCCTCTTTCCCCCGCAGCCGCGGGGCTCGGGGCGCCGCAGAATAAAGCCCAGAGGGCCGGAGCGGCGCCCCCGCTGTCCCTGGAGCCCCCACACGGGGCCGGAGCCGCTGGGCGGGTCCCCCCATTGCAGTGCAAAGCACGGCCCGACACCGCCGGGGTTCCGGCTGTCCCTACATCACACTGGGGGTCCCCGGGGGTTGGGGGGGGGGGTCAGGGAGGGCCCCCTCCTCCGGAGGGGGTCCGAGGGGGGAGGGGGGATGGGGGGGGGTAGGGCCCCCTCCGGAGGAGGGGGTCCCTGGGAGGGGGGCGGGGCGGGTCCCCTCCGGAGGAGGGGGTCCGGGGGAGGGGGCGGGGCCTGGAGGGGGGAATTCCCCCTCCGGCCCCGCCCCCTCCTCCGGGCCGTCTCCTCCGGACGGGGCTCGGCCCGGCCCCCTCCCCGGGACCCTCTCCTCCGGACAGGGGCCCCGGGGGGAGGGAGGGGGGCGGGTGGGGTGGGCAGAATGGGAGGGGCCGTTTGTCTGTCCGGTGATGTCTTTGTGTGTTCACGCTGCAGAGTGACGTGACCCCCTCTGCTTCCCCCCCACCCCGCCCGCCCCCCTCCCTCCCCCCGGGGCCCCTGTCCGGAGGAGGGGGGTCCCTGGGAGGGGGCCGGGCCGAGCCCCGTCCGGAGGAGACGGCCCGGAGGAGGGGGCGGGGCCGGAGGGGGAATTCCCCCCTCCAGGCCCCGCCCCCTCCCCCGGACCCCCTCCTCCGGAGGGGGCCCTACCCCCCCCCCTCCCCATCCCCCCCCCCCCCCCATCCCCCCCCCCCCCCATCCCCCCCCCCATCCCCCCTCGGACCCCCTCCGGAGGAGGGGGCCCTGCCTAACCCACCCCCCCCAACCCCCGGGGACCCCCAGTGTGATGTAGGGACAGCCGGAACCCCGGCGGTGTCGGGCCGTGCTTTGCACTGCAATGGGGGGACCCGCCCAGCGGCTCCGGCCCCGTGTGGGGGCTCCAGGGACAGCGGGGGCGCCGCTCCGGCCCTCTGGGCTTTATTCTGCGGCGCCCCGAGCCCCGCGGCTGCGGGGGAAAGAGGCAGGGGGGACAGAGGAGGGGAACAGAGGAGGGGAACAGGGGGATAGAGGCTGGGAACAGGGGGACAGAGGAGGGGAATAGGGGGACAGAGGAGGGGGACAGAGGACGGGAGTAGTGGGACAGAGGAGGGGAATAGGGAGACAGAGCAGGGGAATAGGGAGGGATGAGGTGGGGAACGGAGAGGGGTTGGGGAGAAGGGGGGGGGAAGGGAAAGGCCGGGTGGGGGGAGAGATGATGGACAGAGGAGGGGTACAGGGGTAAGAGAGGGGGGTCGGGCTGGGGAGAGGGGTGAAAGGAACGGGGGGTCGGGGATGTGCAGGAGAACAGCGAGAGAGGGCAGGGGAGGCTGGGGAGCGGGGAGAGGGCAGGGGGGGCTGGAAGGGAGAGGAGGGATGGGGGGGAGGGAGAAAAAAGCTGGAGGGATAGAAAAGAGGAGAGAAGGGGGGGAAGAAGGAGGAGGATAAGGGCAGAAGAAAGAGGAGAAAGAAAAAGGGAAATCACCGCCGGGAGAGCCCAGCGCGGCAGCAGCCTCACCGTGCTCCGGATGAGCAAACGGCGCCGGCAGAGATTTCCGGGCATTAAATCACCTCGGCCCCGCCCCGCGCAGCCGCGCTGGGGCCTCGCACACCTGAGCCGGACCCGCCCTGCGCACCTGAGCCGGGCCCGGCCCCGCCCGGCCCCGCCCCTGAGCCTGGGACCGCCCCTGAGCCCCGGGACCGCCCCTGAGCCCCGGGACCGCCCCTGAGCCACGGCACCGCCCCTGAGCCACGGCACCGCCCCTGAGCCACGGCACCGCCCCAGAGCCCCGGGACCGCCCCTGAGCCCCGGCACCGCCCCGGCACCGCCCCTGAGCCCCGGCACCGCCCCTGAGCCCGGCACCGCCCCTGAGCCCCGGCACCGCCCCTGAGCCCCGGGGCCCCGCCGTGCCCGGGATGGCGGCGGCACCGTCGCTGCCGGACCCGCCCCTCTCACCTGGGCCGGGCCGGGGCTGCGAGCGCACCGGGACCGGGGCCGCGGCTCCGGGTCCCGCCGGTGGCTCTGGGGGTCCGGGCGGTGCCGCCTCTCCCCCGCCGGGCGGGCTGCGGGTCCCGGCCCCGCAGCACTGAGGGGGCTTGGGGCCGGCTCCGGCTCCGGCAGGAGCCGCTCCGGGACGGGCGCTGGGGCCGGGCCCGGGCAGCCCCCGCGATGCCGCGCTCAGCCCGACGCGCCGGGCCGGGCTCCGCGCTGAGCCCCGAGCCCCTCCCGGCTGCTGCCCGCGCTGAGCCCCGAACGCAGCCCCGGGGCTCCGCCGCCAGCCCCGCCCGCGGCGCTCGGCCGCTGCTCCGGAGCTCTGCCGCGGCCGGGGGAGCCCGGCTTTGGGCACGGCTCGGAGCCCAGAGACACGGACTGGCCCTGGCCGAAAGAGCCGCCTGGAGCACCAACACGCGGCGTTTGGCCTTTCACTCAAGCCCCCCGAAAATGCAGCACTTAAATCGCTCTTGGTGAAGCCCAAACGCTGACCTACCCCGGTTTCAAGACCTCGCAAACACAGGTCATGGTCTCTGCTTCACGCCTCTAAAATGCAGAACTTGGTCTCTCTGAGATCCCAAATGCTGTCTGAGGCACCTTGGTTTCAAGCCCCCCAAACCAGTCCTTAGTGTCTCTTTCTGTACTTGGCCAAATGAGCCCAGTTTTGAGCCCCCAAATCGCAGTGCTGGGTGTCTCTCTGTGAGCCCCAAAACTGCTCCAGTCCGCAGCGTTCGGAGCCCCCAGAAACGCCCCGGGCCATGGGCGGACCCAGCTGGGCCCCAGGAGCAGCTCCCTGACCCCCAGTGGGATGGGGAAGAGACCAGAGACAAAAATCCAGCTCAGAACAGTTTAATAATGGAAACCAAGACCAGTATAACTTAATATTGATGACAGCATATAACAGTGATAGCAACAAGAGCAGTGATAACAATAAAAAGGAGAGAAGACATTCCACAGCCCCCCTTTAACATTATAAATCCAAAATGTAATCCAGAGCACCACAAACTCCCAGTGTGGGGGATTTCCATATTCCTGTTATTTTCTCTGAGTCCATCCTGGGGATTTGAGGCACTTGCTGCTCCTCTGGGCAAGGGAAAGGCTCCTGTGCTATTCCCAAAAACTGAACTCCT